ATCCCTCGACACACACACCCCCCTAGCCTTTTCCTCCCGGTCCATTCAGAACACTGCCATCATTTAATCTGCACTCCACATTTGTTTATTTTACCTTTCCGTTATTCAGAAACTGTACAAAGAGATCTCTTCATTGCCTACAGGATTCTTGGAGAATCCGTTAGCTCTTTACTTAAAGCTCTTTGTCATCTGGCTCCAATCTACCTTTCACATTTGGTCTCCTACCAGTTTTCTTTGTGACCACCCACGAGAATTAGATGGATCTGTTTCCTGAACATTTATTTGTCGACTTTGCTGCTGCCTCTGCCCACTTGGTCATGCGTACTTGGAATGCTCTCATCTCTTGGTTCCAGTCCTCTCCAGGCTTCAGGCCCGGCACACATCTCTCCGAGGGGCTCCCAGAAAGTTGGAGGGAAAATGTCATTATCACTGAAATCAGTTTTTTCCCATGAACTTTTGGGAACATGCTCCCGTTTCATAGGACACTTCTGAATTTTTATCTTGATTTTTGTTTTGAAATCACCTCCAACTTTGTTGTGTCTTTGCTGTATACCTTATTGGAAGTTCAGATTGCAAATGCTTTCCACATAATAGACACTTAATAAGTATTTTAAGCATGATCAGTAATCTAAATTTTACTCAATTTTTCTATGAATGAAGGAAGGAGGCCCCTTTTCCTGGAACGGTGAGTCAGTATCCTCTGAAAGCTAGCGACTTTAACTTGTCGAGCCCACCTTTTGGGGTGGGGGATCAGGGTCAATTTCTCACCCACAGTGTGTAGAAGCTGAGTATAGTTCATCAAACTATAGCATGCAAATTGTAGATTAACCTGATTAAAGTATCAGTGTTTATAAAGGATTTGTCCCACAACATGAATAATAAGCAAGGACCCACTCAGGTGAGTATTTGATGTTGCTTCCAGATGTCTGAAATTTCTCCCAGCTGTTCCCAAAGAAGCTTCATGAAGACAGGCCTGTGTTGACTTTTCCACGAGATGAGCACACACCACTGAAGAATATGAAGCTCATTTCTAATGGCCATGTTTGCGTTAATTCTGTGCTAACTGGCACCTTGTCTGTTCCCCTCTAGTACTTTGGAAGTTTGCTCGTCATTTTCTGTGTGGAACTGGCTTGTGGTGTTTGGACCTATGAGCAGGAAATTATGGTGAGTTCAACATGGGAGCCGACACAATCTAAAACCACATCCAGTTTAGTCTTCCACATCTCTTATATTGGAGCAATATAGACATTAATCTGTATGCTTATTGCTATGTGGCAGAATGAATTCCATGACAACTAATGTACAGGATGACTATAATTAAATCAAATTTTAGCCAAACAATAGACAGGTCTCCAATAAGAGGAATAATAACACTAGTGAGATCCATACTCTGTAGAAAGTTTAACTCTTTGAGACCAAAAGGGCAGCACTTGCCCAAGGACCAAGTTCAGAAGCTTAGGGGAGAAAGAAGAGTGGAAGCAGGAAGCGCAGGGAAGAAGTGGGATACGGGATGGTGCACTGAGAGGATTGCGGTGAAGGAGATGAAACAAAATGGAGATGAATTATGGGATCCAAAATTGATGATCTGCCCTGTAAACCATAGGTTCCCAAACTAATTTTGCCTACCACAACATTTTCAGAAAAATAACTTGTCAGCACGCCCTGGCAATTAAAAACTTCTGTGCTATAGCCCCTTTATCCAGGATAAGGTGTAGGCATCTGCTTTTGCAAGTGGTGCAGTGGTCTAGACATTGGGCTGCTGACTGCAGGGTCTGTGGTTTTAAACCACTGGCCACTCTGTAGGAGAAAGACGAGACTTTCTATTCTCATAAAGGTTTACAGTCTAGGAAACTCAGAGGGCAGTTCTACCCTGACCTATGGGGCGGCTTTCAGTTGGACTCGACTCAATGGCAGTGAGAGCTTTAAATCTGCTTTGCAGTCCCCCTGGATTGTTCCAGCACCCGTCAGGAGGTGATAGTGCCCACTTTTGGAAATCCTGCCAAAAACTTTCACCCCTTTTAACAACAAAACGTTTACAATGGATGCCAGCCTCAGCTGTCCACTCCTGGGGAGCAGGCCCACAGGCCTCCCACTGTAAGGAGTGTGCTCAAGACTTGCTGTGTATTCTGTGCAGCCAGAAACACTGCCAGAGCCGGAGACTTGCTACTGGAAACAACTTTGAGCTTTAAAAAAATTTTATTGGTTAAAGCTGCTGGAATACCCTTTTTGTTGTTGTTATGCAATCTTTTAAAAATTGTTTTATTTTATTTTTTAAACAGTTTTATTGGCACATAGTGTACATATCATACAGTTCAGTAG